GGGTCTGCGCTGCATCTTTCAAGTACCTCCTATAAAAATTTACCATGCCTAAAAACGTTCTTAAGCCATGAAGAGTGGATGGCAGTTCATAATCAAGAATAGCTTTAACTTTGTTTGGCAGAGGTTGCGAACCAGAAGGCGTAATGAGATACCCCAAAAATTCAATTTCTTTAACTCCAAATACGGACTTTGACACATTTAAGCATAGGCCATATTTATCAAGCCTTTCGAAAATTAAGCTCAGATGTGTTTTATGCTCATCCTCAGATGACGAGGCGATTAAAACATCATCAAGATAAGGAAAAACAGAAATCAAGCCCTCGAAACACCTCGTGTACAAATCTTTGAAAGGTTGAGGGAGAGCATTTCGGAGACCAAAACTCATAACGTTAAACTCGTACAGTCCAAATGGTGTAATAATGGCTGTTTTTGGTTTATCCTCCTCAGCTATGGGTATTTGATAGTATGCTTTGAATAGGTCTAATTTTGAGAAAATTGTTTTCCCACTCAAGATTAAATGAAAATCCTCAATCCTAGGAATCGGGTATCTGTCCGGAATAGTCTGCTCATTCAGACGTCTATAATCACCACAGGGTCTTAAAGTTCCATCTTTCTTTGTAACCAGATGCAGAGGACTAGCCCACTGTGATTTAGATGGCCTGATTATACCATTGTCTAACATGAACTGAAACTCTTGTTTTGCCAAATTCAGTGTCTTAGCATCAAGCTGCCGAGCACGAGAGTAAACTGGCTGTCCTTTTGTAGCAATATAGTGCTGGACCTTATGTTTCACTTTGGTGTTCAATAAATTGGGCTTCGTAATACCAGGGTACTTTCGCAACAGCTCAGAGAATTTTACAGAATTGCTCACTGTGCTAATCGCAGTATTTTCAGTTACTGACATTACATCACTATGTACAAACATATTTGTCACACCATCAATTAATTTTCTCTGGCGAATGTCAAGCAGTAAGTGAAACTGATTCAGAAAATCGGCACCTAAAATGCCTCTGTTTACTTTTGCTACAACAAATGGCCATTGGAATGGGCGACGTAGTCCGAGGTCCACGGTCAACACCTTACTTCCAAACGTTGGGATTTCAGTTCCGTTAGCTGCGTATAGCTTGTATGAAGTGCAGGTACTTTTAGATTTCGTATCAGCTGGAATCAAGCTGATATCTGCTCCACTGTCAATAAGAAATTTGATTCCTGTTTTTCTGTCTTTGATAAAAAGGCGAAATTTGCGGCAATTAATGTTTCCAGTAGCAGCAGGGCTTGCCGCTGATTCTACTGCTAGTTGCAGTTTTCCGGCTGCTTCCAACTGCAGGGAGGTTTGCATTTATCAGGGTAGCATTTTTTTCCAAATTTGAAATGGAAAAAACAGTATTTTCCATCTGGGTCAAAACGCTTGCGGGATCTGCTGCGACTCCTATTTCTTTGATGGCTTCGACTTCGTCGTCTGTCTCTCGTGTGTTGAACACTCAGAGTCGCAATTTGTTGCTCAAGTGAAGAATTTTTTTTAGCAACATATCATATGGGCCAGCTTCTTGGACCACACTCGCAAGCTCTATCCGGGGATTCATCTCAAGAATTTTATCGGCCATTGTGGCCAACTTATCAGTACCTTCATCACTAACAATTAAAATGTTTTTTACTTGGTCTGGCAGTTTCTCCATCCATAAGTTCTCAGAACTTTTTCAGACACATCATCAGCATCTCCAAGGGCACGCATTTTTCGGAGTAGTTGGCTGGGCTTTAGGTCTCCCAATTCTAGTCCAGTTAGCAATCGCTTGATGCGTTTGTTTTGTTTTCACTTTCTTTAAAAGTGCTCAGAAGTCTTTCTTTAGCGGCTGAATATTTGTTTGGCGTGTCGTCTCGAATGATGTCCCAAATGTTTTCTATAAATTTGGGTTCAAGTTGTGCAACCAGGTAATTAAATCTTGTGTCTTCGGAAGTAATTCCACTGATTTTAAACTGTGCCTCTACGGTGAAAAAAAAAAACCACATTTCAGGTTTCTCTACCCAAAATGGCGGTATCTTAACACTTACTTTACTAGCTTCAAGTTTTGAAGTAGATGCAGATTCACTGTCCAATGGCATGTTTGCAATTTTAAGTCAAACTAAAACATTAACATTCCTAATAAAACACGGGTCACCAGATATTAGTTCAACTCATTGCAAACTTTTATTCATAATCATGAACAGCACTAAAAACTTATACAGAAAAAAATTACAGACGTCCACCTTGAGCACATCCAACACCAACACATGTCAGACCGACAGACAGACAAAGTAGCCAGATGTCTTGTTTTGCACCCGCTAAGTCTTTCTGCACCGATGGGCGAAAAATCAAGCATAGGTGCGAAGAAAAGGTATATAGAAGAGGGGGCAATTTCGTATTTGAGGAGAGTAAAAAGGAACTTCGTACATCTTGTACGAGTTCAAAAGGCCAGGAAGAAAAGATGGGACAAAAATAAAATTTAAAATAAATGGCCCAAAAATAATAGAGGAAAAAAAAAAAAAAAAGGCCTCTAGAATGAAAAAGGAAAAAAGAAGTAGTAGGAAATATCCTAAAAATACGATTGTGTCCATGAGTGTAGTTAAAAGGAGAAGAAACTGTCTTCATTTACAATAAATAGTGTCTCACATGTGTGTTTTTTGTGTAGTGAGTGTGTTGGTTTGGTAATTGTGAATAGATGTGTGACTGGGGAAAAAAAAACAATTATTGACGGTTTGTTAAAATGCTTCGTATCAAAGTATTTAGCATGGAATATAAAGTAATATGTACGCTTGCATCCTGAGATATCAACAAAAGGTCATCAAAACAAAAGTATATATTAATTTAACCAAAGTAACTTATGCTACTTTCATTCTCAACATTTTCATACATTTTTCAAAAAACAGCATCAGACTAAGAACAGAGAACCATATACAATATATACAATACAAGACCACAATCGCACACACCAAATATATATATATATATATATATATATATGTTGTGTGTGTAAATTACTGAGTATATGTATTAAAAACACAAATTAAACAGTATTTATTAATTTAACTATCATAATTTATTACAAGATTAATTATTTTACTATCATAATTTATTACTAGTTAAATAATGTTAGTATAACACAATGAGGCACACTGTTATTTATATAAGCTCATATTCTAAGAATTCATTTAAGGCGGTGAAGAATAAACCATCCCTTACATATGGACATTTAACAGATAGCAAAGAACAGTATGAGAAAAAGTCGGTGAGGTATAATATTATTTAAAGGCGAAACTATATAAAAGCGATCTAAAAAGAAAAGAGAATCCAGAAGATCCGAGAGGGAAATAGCGCGATGATCAAATTTTCCCTCTCATCCCCAAATTTTCCCTCTCTCGAGATTCCTTAAGGGCTTTGTAAGTGTTGACAGACGTTGAACTGATAACGTTGGCGTCTATTTGCAGTTGATACACAAAGGAAGCCACAAGCAATGGCAATTTCAAGTATTTTTTAATGCTTTAAACTGATGAAAAATTAAGATTTATTGATTTAAAGGCACTTATTTATAGAAATATCATTTAGTTTAGATGAAAGAAAAGTACTTATCTTAAAATTCCAGGCTTTTGGAGTATATCCTTACATTGTCCGCTGTTTTATTCTCGTCAACATCGGAGCCGAAATTCATTGGAATGATATAGGTGTTGTAGGGGAAAAAAACATTTTTCAAAGAAATTTAATTGATAATCACCAAGAAGAAAGGAAATATTTCCACTTTTTTACGGAGCGCAGCGATCGTGCTGCCGCTTGCCTCGGTGATCGCAGATTCCCCACACCAACACATGTACACATGGTCAACAAAACTCTTTAGTCAATGTTACAGTTACATATGAAAATTTAAAAACAATAACACAGCAAAACAAAAATGTTCTGAAAATTCACACACTTAATTTAAAAAATTAAATGCACATTATTACAGTTATTAGCAATGACAAATAATTATTACACTTTTCTTTAATAATTTAAATTGATTTTTTTACCAATGTCTGAGCTATCACCAGGCCACTGAAATGCTAAGTTCAAATCCAATGTATTGGACTGGTGCAGCCATCTACTGACAAGATAGTGAAATGCAAAGTGTTCTAACAGAGTAATAGTTCGATCCATATGTCTATAAGTTGAATTATTCAGTTGTTTTATGAGTTTGTTTAGAAAACTGTTTTTGTTTACTGTAGCGAATTCGCGGTGAAATCGGATTAGCTTTCTTGGATATTTTTCGGAGAAAGCCTTGACTCGAAAAAATGAGAAACAGCTTATTATGATTCTGCCTTAACACAGTGCCGTAACACATATTAAGCACTTCCGACATTATTTTAAGACAAAATATTGTTCACATGTTTTTCCTTAAATAAGATAAGACTATTCTTGTTGACATCAAGAAGAGAGATTTCGCATCCAAGAGTACTTTTTAATTTTTCCCAATAGCTCTAAATTCGAAAATCAAGTATTTCCATTGTAAACCCAGAACATGCGAAGTTTCTTGTTCATAACACACGTGACCTTACCTTCTCTTGCGGAAATAGGAAATGGAAATCCCAGTTGACCACTTTATGAAATCCAGTGAGCTTAAATTCAGAAATCCGCTAGAATGGTTCTCCCATTTAATTGTTATTCTTTTTGAGATTGTCATTTGTGTTTTATTTTTTGCTTTACGGTACGATATTAACATGGAATAATTTCACTTCCAGAAGCTCTTCTCTTTACCAAGGGCATTTTGTATAACTTGCGTATTTTTCAGAACATTTTATTTATAAAAGTTTTTTTTTAGTCAGCATTTAACCTTTGCAATATTTGGCATCAGATTTGATACTGAAACACTTAATTAAAATCAATAAATAGTTAGTCGATAGAGGAATGTTGAAATCATCATGGCGAATAGCTCTCTGTTTTGTCAGCAAATTTGCAGCTCAACTGAATATGTTCTTTGTTCAGTTGGTCGCTTGCTTGTAGTCATGGCTGCTGGTTGTTGTGGGGGGAAGAAGGAGAAACAAAATTATTTTAATCCTTGTTGCAATGGAACAATCGTTCATCCTTACACTACAGAGCCAAGTATGTACAGAAATGGAATGGTTGCATGCGTTGAAATGTGTTTCTGCTTTGATGTCTTATATTGTCATTTGAATCAATATGAATCACCGAAGACACCGAATTTCCCCAATGAAAGCTAGTAAGTAGTTAACCTACTTTTAATTTTTGTTTATAATGAAATAGAAAAATACGCTAAATTTATTTCGCTGTGCTTCTTAGATCATCAGAGTAATTTTTCATCATATATGTTTATTTGTTAACAGAATTTTTGGCTTATAGGAAGAATAAAACATGATACTACTTTTTCTTCAATTGTTTTATAATCGCTTGGTTTCGCTGTGAAGGCCATTTGCTGATGTCTTTGGCCTTGTCCTATTATTTTCTGGAACAGCAAAAGTGTAGAAAGTTTTTTTTTGAAATTATAATTCTTAATTTCATATATGCATTTTTTTTTAACCTGTCATTTATTCACTTGAAAAAGTTTTCGTTTTAAAATTAGAAACATGTAGTTTTATGTAGAAACATTTGAAGGAATTTAAAATGGAAACTTTTCAGAGGCACTAGATGATAATTCAGTATTTTTGATAATTCACATTTTCTATTATAGATACAAAGTTATTTTAATGTAGAAGTAGTAATATTTTGATATTTATAAGCATTCATATGTAATACTTGCATATTTATTGGTGTGGCCAGTGATCAATTTTGTTATACTGTGTCTTATAATTTTTATAATAAATCCAGAATCACATTTTCTGAGGTTTGTAATGTTTCCAAGGTTATTATTGATTAGAAGAAATCTGTAAATCTAAAAAATATAAATTAAAAATTCCTTTCATATTTGACCTTATATAGTTCTAGGCAAAATGGAATTAATTAGCCCAGAATTATGTGAAAATAAAAATACTGTAGAATATTTTCCTCCTTCAAAAAGTAGGACAATGTATTACTCTTCTTTGAAATGCACAAATTTTTAGATTTTTTTTTTTCCTTTGAAATCACTGTCATTTTATGGTTGAATTTTACAAATAAAATTTTCCAAGTATTCTCTGCTGTATGAAAGTTATTGTTAATTGTAAAAAATGTGTATGCTAGTACTTTTTTTTACTGTATGAAGGAGGGGTTAGGGAACACCCAACATTCATTAAAAGATAAAAAAATATCATTCATTATTTGTTTTATATAATGCTTTCAGAAAAACATGTTTTTATTGTGAAAGTTCACTTGTTTAAGAATGTTTCGTAAGATGTGATTGCCTGTCAAGTACTGCAAAATATATATCGGTTTAAGTATTCGAGCACATTTATACATATTTTAAACATTTCACATCATTGGAATAAAAGACAAACCTTAATTTTGAATTAAACAGGCTGAGAGAGGTTCTGGTATGTAAGATGTGATTGCCTGTCAAGTACTGCAAAATATATATCAGTTTAAGTATTCGAGCACATTGATACGTATTTTAAACATTTCACATCATTGGAATAAAAGACAAATCTTAATTTTGAATTGAAACAGGCTGAGAGAGAATATATAATGTAGGGCTATGATAAATACCAAATGTTTATTTTCTTCCTTACCTGCAGACAACTGCATCTTCCATTACCTGTTATCAACAATAATTCATTTTAACGCATAATTATTATTAGTACCATCTCTAAAAGTTTTTTAGTTTGCTTGATTTCTTAATTTTAGAGGATGAAGTTGCTCTACGTTATTAATATATATATAATTCTTGCATTTGCTATTTTACATTTACTGAGAATGAGGTGATATTTTGAGTAAAGTGCAGAATTGTCCACTTATTTGTTTGGCGCTTTTTACAAGAATAAGAAGGCTTGTATTTTTGACAATTTTCTTTGACGTTTTACGTGAAAATAGGTTGTTGTGTACATGGATAAAGGGAGTGCGCAATGCCGTTTTTGTGCAATTCTGGTATGTTTTTTTGAGTGAAAATTGGTCGATGTGTACATGGATACCGAGTATGGGCGGTTCTTAAAAACGCGCCAAGCAGTAGGTGATTCTGCCCTTTCCCCGATATTTTTATCTTCGATCTAGGATTGTTAAAAAATATATATTTAAATATGTACCAGGAGTGGGCATAGAGTGGCTCTCAAGCATATAAAACATATGTTTGAAATATGGTAAACTAAAAGTACTCAATGTACAAAAAAAAAAAAAAAAGTTGTCACATGCTGAATGCACACTGTCACTAAATGATTGTTTAGAATCAGACATTTATATTTGATACATTTTTCACAACTTTTGAAATGATATAACATGGATTATTTCTTTTGGAGAATCTAGTTGTGACTTTTGAACTTTCCTGAATTCCAACATGCAGCTGTTGCTAACCTGAAGTTTGGTTATTCATGCTATATACACTGATAGCAACTAAATTAGAGATCCCTGCATAGTAGTATGTAGCAGTCTACTTTTGGTACAACTCTAATATATGCCCTAATTTCACCAAATGTGGCGATATGTGTTCTGCGCTGGTTTTTGGCGCGATTGCGTGTTCTATGGCAACCCTGTTGACATTGAAAAATCTTTCGATGGAGCTCGTTGGTTCGCCTCTGTGTCTGAGAAAATGGGAGGGAAAGATAAAATGGTAGAAGGTGTTGAATTGAAGTTCGGCAAAAGGAAATATTATTGTGGCCCTCCTGTTGAGGGGTAGTGGGTGGGTATTTGGAGGTGTGGAAAGAAGGGTCTGGGAGATTATTTTTAATGGCTAGTGCGTGTGATAGAAGTAGGGATTTGTGATTTTTTTTGTTTGTGAACCATAGTATGAATTTTCTGGAGTGTGTCTAACTGTCATGTAAATACGATAGTGAATTACATGGCGGCATGTTAAAGGCGGTATGAAATTGGTATTTCTGCTGCTTCGAAAAAGCATTAATTCATGGTAAGTGCATTTTATTTTATCCTTGTTCTTATTTTGTAGAATGTTATGTTCATTGGTTCTTGAGTATGAATTTCTGTCGTTATTGTTGTTTTTTTAAATTGTTTGAAATTTATTTTAGTTTATTTTGTTGTTTAGTGTCTAGACTGTACAATTCGTAGATGTTTTTTAAAGTTGAAACAGAACGCTATGTACATGGTATTATTTGAAATTTATTTTTGTTATGTTATTAAAGCGAAGAGTGCGTAGATCGTAGATTCCTTCCTTGCCTAACTTGTACAATTCGTAGAATTTTTTGTAAGTTTAAACAGGATGCTGTGTACATGGTATTCTTTGAAATTTATTGTTGTTATGTTAATTTATTAAAGCGAGGTCTGCGTAGTTTGTAGATTCGTTTGTTGCCTACATTGTGCAATTCGTAGATGTTTTTTTAAGTTAAAATATGTCGCTGTGTACATGGATTCTTGTCAAATATTTTTTGGTTAGAAACTTTACGTTTTTGCTATCTAAATTTTTTGTTTTTGTTTCGGATTTTTAGCTAAATTGTGTGTTCAAAACGTAGTTTTTGCATGTGCGAAAACCGCGTTTTTGGAGACATTTTAGGCTAAAAGTTCAAAGTGTAGACAAAAAATTTAGATAGTAATATGGCAGCGTGAAGGGCGACTTGAGGGCGCATATCAGAGTAGTTCCCTACTTTCTCTCTGATAATAGTTTACAATATGAAGAAATATTAGGAAACCATACTGACTGATCTAGAGCACAGCATTCTATAGTGCATTACTGCACATGCATTTCTATCGGTAGCATTTAGTTAATCAAACAAAATAAGAAACGTAAGTAACTGTTTTAGTTAATGTGCTATTAAATCTGAAGAAATGAATAAAGTTGATGAGAAAAGAATAAATTTTTGTCTTGAAATGATGCATACTAATTGGAAGAAAAATTAGGAAGTTTTTATTACACTTTGAGATTTACTGATGTTTTAGTATAATGAATAATAATAGTTCTTCTATCGAAGAAAAGAAAGAAAATTTTCTTTCTAAGAAATATTACTCCTGTAGGAATTTAGGCTAAAGTGCAGAATCGCCCACTTAAAATAGGTCAATGTGTACATGGATAAATTCAAAGGAGTGCACAATGCCATTTTTGTGCAATTCTGGGATGTTTTTTTAAGTGAAAATAGGTCAATGTGTACATGGATACCGAGTATGTGCATTTCTTAAAAATGCACCAAGCAGTGGGTGATTCTACACTTTCCCCGGAATTTAGATTTTTGATGAGAGTTTAAGAACTAAAAATTTATGTGCAATGCTTTAATTGTAATGCCTTTTATTTATTTTGTAATTAGTCTTCACATGCGGAAACAAGTAATGGATAATATCTAAGCAATACTCTTTTGGAAAAGAAGTAAGAAAGGAGAAAGAAGAGATTCTCACTGAAATGGCTAATATATCAAAACATGTCTGTGCATTACTTATTAAAGTTTATTGATTTTAAATATTTGTATAATGACATAATTACCAAATTTGTAATTGAAAGATTGTTTTTATAGGGTAATTGACTTTTTATTGAATTTTTATATGAAGCATCCAATTTGTGGATATATAAAAAAATTTTTCATTGAAATTTTAGTTTATTTATTGTAGTCTTTGTGTTAACTGTTTTATTTTTTATCTGCTGTTAAATTATTTAATGTGGATTATTTCCTTTAAACTTCTAGTCCGTTGTTTGTCACATGGAAAATTGGTAAAGATCGTAAACTGCGAGGTTGTATAGGAACATTCAATTCCATGAATTTAGCTACTGGTCTCAGAGAATATGCTGTAACTAGGTAAGTTGGATATTTTAAGGAAAATTATTTTTTAGGTTTTATTCCTAGATGAATGTTTTGAATTTTCATTTCTTCATGGTATTAAATTTGAGCTTTTAACACAGAATGGTATTCATCAATGCTATTATTGCTTATATGATCATCCCACAATAATATTTTATGCAAGAACCTTTAAGCTGTCAGATATCCATATTAAATTAGTATTTTTGTTTTGTAAGCATTCTCTGAAACAGGGAAGCTTATGTATTTTATTTGCTTAGTAAGGTACTAATGTGTTATTTGAACCACCTTAATAGAAACCACTAAAGCTTCAGAATACACCAAACTCTGGTAACCATGTGCATAACAATTAATTATTCAGGCAACCATGTGCATGACAAATATTTAGGTTCCAATGTCACCCTTTTCATATATGTGCTTTTTGTAGTATTCCAAGTTTTAACGGTATAGAGAAATGGTGATTGTTTTTTTGTCTTAAACTCGGTTTTAAAATTTTTGCTTGCAAGATTTCCTCAAACCCCAAACCAAAATAATAAGAATTATTTAGCTGTTTTTCTATTGCATGTAGGAAATCATTTTTTAAAAATTTAAAATGGTAATTATAAATTTAACATAAATGAAAATTAAGCTCTTTAATTCATTTAGGAAAGAGTATTTCATCCTCCACCAGAATTTGCGAAAATGAGTAGGAAATTAATCACATTGGCAATCAGTGGTTGTATGGCATTATCGGATTCATATGGTATCAGCATATTTGTATGGCTTGGTAAAATCTTGCACCATACCTGAGTTCAAGTGGTGACAGTATGAATGGATTGGATTATTGAATTAAGGCAAAGCACACGAGGGCTATCTGACTAAAGGGAGGGATGCCTTCGTGGAGGACTTTCTAAGGTAAACTGGCTCGTATACACGTTAGACATGGGGAAAACCACGAAAACGCCCATGCAGCCAGCCTGTTTGTGGGATTCGAACCTCGAACCGAACTACCAATGTTCAGCGACTTTACCGCTCGGCCGCTGGTGGGCCAGTGACAGTATGAAAGCTGTGATAATATACTTAATGCCATATTAGCTGTTATTGCTGAGGCCACCTGAAAAATAAATTACAACTCAAGTACGAATTTGTATTTTTTATTTAAACTAAAAATAAGTACTTTTAAAAAAAAATATTTCCATTACTTAAAAGTGCTGTTATTTATTGATTGCTTTCCTGTGTGTGGTGCCTAAACTTGGTGACATCTTTTCGTTAGTTGACTTCTGGCAATATTGAAAATGCAAAATTAAGTTATATGAAATCAGGTGTTGAAAGCAGCAGGACATATCAAGTTACAAAGTACTTATAATAAAGTAAGAATTATATTTTACACAAAACATTTCACTATTTAGGATTTCCTCCATCAAAAGCAGTTTTATACTGTAATTACTTGGCAGTAAAGAGATTACACCCGTATGGATTTGTTTTACTGGCAAGCAGGTGATGATGTCAATGATCAGAGAGAATAGGATATACAAATGGGTACAAATGATTTCTTCTAGATGCAGGATACGAATACTAGTTGATTATGTAATATACAGTTAAATTCCTTAGCTGGAAATACACCGAAGTCAAATATAGATCATGAATAGAGTCATGAAATGTGGCAGTGGTGATTATCTCATGTGGTGAAGACATTTTCATCCTTATATAATTCCAGAATATTTTAAGATGATAGAGCCATTATAAAATACATTTGCATATCAAAACAAAGTTTCTTATAAAGGAAGGGGGAGTAAAGTTATATACTGTGTGCTATGTCGAATTTGACTAAAATTATAAAAACTATTGAAGAAAAACTTATGCAATTTTTTTGCCATGTGTTAGACAGTTTTCAGCTTAGAAACAAAAATTAAAGGTAATGTGATTAGTTTTATTAAAATTTGATTATGTAGTTCATATTTTCTAAATGTAAATTTGATTGGTGTAATAAAGGATGTGGAAAATATAATGATGTAGGAATTTTCAAGAATGAAATTTTCACGACTTATTTTAATTAGAAGGAGTTATCTATTTTAATTTTCATCCTTTGCTCCCATAATGTTGTTTTGAATTAGTTAAAACTGAACACGTGATTCATTATTGTATAGTTTATTTTGTATTGTATAATTAAGTAAAATTGAATGTGTAATTCAGTATTTGAATTATTCAAAATTGATTATAATATTCAATTTTAAATATAGAAGAAGAGTCCTTTATTTAATTGTCATTGAACTCTGTAGAGATTTATTCAAAATCTACATCAACCTAAGATTACTGTTATGCCTAATTTTAAATTTCATATTATCATTTTTCTTTTCCAGTCAGTTTAAATTAGTATTTTATGGGAAAGAACAAAATTCACTTTTAGTTTTGACTTTGTGTCAGAAATGAAGGATTTTATATTAAATAAATGTCACAGCTATAAGTACGAGATAATTCAATTTTGTCTAGGTATAAAATTCTTTAAATCTAATTTTGATTACCAAAATTATTTTAGTAAACCAAATTAAACCAAAATTATTTTCTATTGGGAACGGAAATATCATTGTCTTACCAAATATTACAAAATCCTTTTTTCTGGAGCTGTGTTGAATGGTTGTTTTTGAGGATTGTTTTAAATTTAATTTCTCATTCTGAGCAGCTTTGCCTCTTTTTATTGATAATGCTTGGTTTTGCTATGTATCACTTGCTTTCATAACATTCTACATACTTCAGGACTTGCTTTAGTTGGGAAGAGGTAGCAACTCCCTTTGCATTATTGCAATATTAGCTTCTCTTCGCTCTCTTTATTTTTTAAGAAATTTTTTATTTGTGTATAATTCTTATTTAGTTTGATACTCTCCTGTTATTGGGACCAAGTTCAGATGTGTATGTATGCATATGTGTCTGTATACACATACATATATATATATATATATATACACATCTGGCATGCATGAACACATACATCCATACATACATGCATATATATAAAGCATGGATTTTTGTAGAAGAGATATTACAATTAATTTCAAGGCTCTTCCCCCCCCCACAGATGAAAAACATTGAGATTGATTGAATTCGTCTTCTGTTTTTGTTCATTTTTCTTTTAATTTTATAATTTTTGAAGAGGGGTTTTGTCTGTTTGGAATGTTTTGGTTTAAAAAAAAATTTTAATTTATTATTGCATTACTATGATTATTTGAAATTTATTAATTATGAATTTCAATCTCTGGTCTTTGTAAAATATTAGTTCTAAGTTTCTTACTTTATGTCTTTAATGATAATTTTTCTACAGCTTAAAGCACAAAAATAACTAAACATGTTTATGTTTTGTTTTCAAATTATTTTATAATTACATATATATATATATACAGTCAAAAGTCGTTAATCCGGACTCGTCGGGACTTCGGCGATTCCGGATTATCGATTTTTCCGTATTATAGATCATCAGTTTAAATCTGGTAAGATGGCATGCAGAAATTCTAAAATTAAAAATATGAAACCGTAATTTATGAAATAAAGAACAATTATGATGTAAAGGGTATCAAAATTTACAAAAAAAAAAAAAAAAAAAAAAAAAAAAAAAAAAAAAGCTTAATATTTATTTGTTTACTTTATTAAACATTTCTTTCAATTTAAGTCATTTAAGTTGCTTTGTTTTATGTCATAATACTTTCTCTTTAATTCTATAAATAGACATAATTTCTTGTTCAGTTACAAAGTTCCGCTGTTCAAGTCCTATAATTGCTGTGTCGAGAATACCGACTAATTTGTCAATCGAAATTTTTTCGTTTTCAATACCCCCTGTGCCACTTTCTTCACTTATCAGAAGCGAATTATAATGATGAGGAATTTGATTTAAATCATATCAAAGACAGAGTACATCGAGATGAAATACTACATTTAGTAAGGAATTATAAGCCAAATAAAATAAAAAATCTGCCCTGAAGATAAGGATAGTGCTGACAGATGAACTTCCAATTCATTGCGCTCTGCGGCATCCCCCCCGCAGAGCAGCGTGAAATTGATAAACAGATTTCGGAATGGTTAGATAAACAAAGGATCCATTTTATCCATTTTTTGCAGCAATTTCACAACGAAACATACTTTCGCTTTGTAGATCCTTTGGGAGCTCCAGTATCGGAAATTCTATTTGACATAATCGAAAGTTCAAGCTTACTTTTATAAAATTGCTCTAACATTCTGTAAAAAATAATAAGCCGGATCCAATTCGAAGATTAAGGAAGAACGCAATCTGCAACATTAAATGAAATAGATAATTAAATAATTTTAGCTTATACCGTCCGTTATACATTAAACGCGCATGCGTAAACGTATTATGCGCATGCGCACACGCATATGCACAGCCGTAAATGTCTTACGCGCATGCGTAAATGCGTTGCATTTCTGCGCATGCGTAAATGCAATGCATGCGCAGAAAGTTTGTAGCTTTGAGGTCCGGATTATGGGTATCCGAATTAATGACTTTTGACTGTATACGCATTTCTGAATCTGGTGCTTATAACAGAAAAGTGCCTTTAATTTTTAAAAGAAAAAGTGGATATTTTTTTCATTGTGTTATGTCAAATTTTGTATTATTTAGACCAGTATTATTCAAAGATTATGGCAGTGTAAATAATAACCCCATAAAATTGCTAATGACCCCAAAAAATAATTTTGCGACTTTAATCAGACCATCATCCCTTAGCAGAGTAATCATCAGTTCAAATATTTTAGGATTTTTACCCACCTCGTGGCTCTGTTACAAATTCTCATGGCTCACCACTGGGTTAGACTATATCATTGTTAGACTGTTGAATATTAATTCATATATGTGTTAATCTGGTATTTAGATATTAATGCAACCACCTTGACACAATTTAATATTTTTCACGAGTGAAAAATATTTATTAGTGCAAGTTGGCAAATTTTGCAATGTTTTAAAAACAATTTGTAACGATCGATATTTATCATAAATCGGAAAACATTATCAACATATC